GAATTGTGAGCTTATTCCCCTACCTCAGTGATCCATTCTCCAGGACCGGTTATGTAAGTCACACACTATAATGGCTGTGATAATGTTTAATGCTACATTGAAACATTTTGATTTCTACCAGGGCGTATTTTTAAAGGTACTGTTTGATAAAAAAATAAATAAGTGAAATAATTGCTCTGCATACATGAGTCTTTTCAAGTTGCAATTGTGGAACTATGGCTGAGATGGTGTTTTTTTCATCCCACAGTCTTTTTCACAAATGTGTTAGAGGGTGGGGCTAAAGGAAGGACGAGGGAGCAGAGAGGAAGTAGTGGTGGATTCATATTCAAAATGTCACTCTTTTTTTGTTGTGTCCAATATCACTTGGGAGCACCTTGACTTTAAAAGAAATCTCATTAATGGAGTGTCTGTTTTTGTTTTCCTTTCACCCTCCAAGGAGCATTATTATGATGGCGAGAGTGGCACTGGGTACTTGGCCTGGAGGATTAAAACTCTTCAGAGATCCACTGCTAGAGACAGACGATCATCATATGGAGGTAACGCTATAATAATACTGGAAGCTAGGGTTGGGATCCGGATCTGGTTCTTTTTTGGAACTGGGTCCAAAGTTCCGGGTCCATCACATTTGGCGTAACGGTTCCTGCAAACGGTGCCTAGATTGTTAAAGAAAAAAAAAAAAAAAAAAAAGGCAGGCGGCGGGGAGGTCTGCTTCCAGCTAGGGGAGCGGTAGAAACAAACAGCCAATGTGTGTGTGTGTTCTGTTCAGGTGTTGTCACGTAAATAACAGTGCCCAAGCACGAATGCATATAAGTATTTTTTTATTACATTGTTGTGGTTAATTTTAATAGTGTTACTGTAGAAATCAGAGAATCACTTTTTGTTGTTATATGTTCTCAGGGAGATGATACAAGCTCTAAATCTGAAATACACACCACACACAAATGTGTATTTTCATCTAATTGTACTGTGCAACAGTTAGAATAAAGTTTTTGTATTTGTATGATTGCATTTGTGTTTATTATATACTTGTTTAAGTATAGCAAGTATAATTAATATAATGTAGGAATCGGTAAGAGAAATCGGTAAGGAATCGGACCGTTAAGAAGGAATCGGTAAGGAATCAGAATCGTTAAAATCCTAGCGAGTCCCAACCCTACTGGAAGCAGATCTGAAACATTGTTTTTTTTTTTTTTTTGCCTGTACGTTTATGTGGTTGTCAAAATATGGTATTCTCCCATATTGTGTAGCATCATCTGAAGGAGCATCTCATGAAGATGGGCTTGGAGGACCAGCTGCCAGACGAGAGCCCCGGTTTGGTCCAGAGACTGTTCTGAGTGAAGATGAGTATAAGGAAGCCATCGCACTGATTAAACATTCAGCTGATGAGGACACAATCAAGAAGAAGATGAAGTTGACATTTGACTTCCGCCGCAACATGGTCCTTGACCCACAGCAGTCAAGCAACGTACTATCTGTCTTTCCACGTTTCAAAGACGTCAAAGGCTTGGTAATTGTTTTTCATTATTTTGACAGTGTTTTGACAATTTCATAATTATGTAAAAAGTATGTGTGTATTTTAGTGACAGTCAAACAATTAACACAATTCATCTGGCTGTGAAATCTTGAAGTTTCCCATTATCCTCACCCTAGGTGGAACAGGATTTTGTTCTGATGTTTGGGGAGGATGTCTCTGGCAAGTTTCTGGAGAAATGGGCGACCACATTCAAGAAAAAGATCATCCAACAATGCAGAAAGCTTCCATACACCAGTGAGCTTGATGATCTCCTCCTGGCAGCTGATACTCCTTAGGATGGCACTGAAGTGGATGACGACATTGGTAAGTATGACTTTTTCCACATTCCATTGGCTGCACTTGTTATGTGTGCTTCACTATAACCCGTGTTAGTGTTAATTTCTTACTGTGCAGTACACTCATGCCCAGAGTTGGGTATAACGCATTACAAAGTAACGCGTTAGAGTACTTTGATTACTTTTTGCAGTAACGAGTAACCTAACGCATTAGTTTGCTGTTTGAGTAATCAAATACTTGAGTACATTTACTACAAGCCATCAGTTACTTCCGTTACTTTTAGAACGCTGGTCCTTCAGCTCCGAAACGGCAACGACTGTCTTTCGGTTCTAACGGAGATAATGTTAAACCTATCAGTCCGAAAAAAGCCACAAAGCTTGTGGCTAGCTAGGTGGTAGAAGAAATGCTGCCACTGTCGACGGTGTAGTCTAAAACAAGGTGGAGGAGGACTCGCTGACAGACAGGTCAGACTCAGCACTTGCATTATGCCTGGTACACACTACACAACTTTTCTGCCCGTTCTGAAAGTCACTATGTCACATTACACGATGTGGAGTCATAAAATTGTGCCATTACTTGGCCGTC